CTGGCTGCATTAGAAGTCCGAGATTTGCCAGCTTAGCTGAAACGTAAAAACGCCACCAGCTCGGCACGCAACGCAGAAATTCGACCCATCTCTGTCGTCACTAATCTCCCGGAGGCTTTCCTGTCTTGCGCGAAGAGGCAAAATTAACAACATTTGGATTTTCGTATAGTCACGCAATGATTTGAAGGGAACAACCACTACGGCGGGGCCCCTCGTGGGCCCCCATCGAGGTGAGCCCGGGGAAGAATCCACAGGTGAGGCCTCCAGGCAGCTTCAGTACGAAGTGACTCTGTCTCATACTGGACGTTTTATGTTTGTTACCATATTGTAGATGTAATATGGCGGCTTGTGCTGCATTATCGTCAGTTCAAAAGTGCACAGCCCGCAGTAAGAAAGACAGAGACCTGCATTTGCAGACGTCGGCCACAGCTCGCCCCTCATGAGCTGCGTAGACAGCAGATAAAGTGCGTCTCTTTGGCGTTCTGCAACGCACCACACTACTACCAGGGAACGGGGTACCCGTCATTGTACTCCCATGCTTCCCTTCACTGCACAACTCCCGAAGTTATGAGCATGGTCCGCTTTAGGGACCAGGAACTACTTTGGTGGAAGCATCGCTCACTGGCTTTTTTGGTTTATTACTTAGAGAAGCACTTCTAGTAAGGGCTGGCAGTACTAATCACTTGCGCGACTTGCATTCACTCCAGGGCCCTTGGTACTGGCAGTGCAATCCAATTTCATGATGCCAGCTGGGGACTAGCTACCAGTTCAGTGAGACCATAGTGTGTGCACTGCCTTGTACGTACTACTTCTGCTTCACCTGCAGATGTGTTCCCATCTGTGCAAACAGGGGTGACGGGCCCAGACCCCCTCTTAAAATAATACATAAGAAGAACAGCACTTCTGATATTCGGTCAAACGTGGGGGGTTCTGCTTGTGCAGTATTGCCGTAGGTCTTTGTGGATCACATTGTTTGTACGCCTTTGAACCGATAGATGGCAATCCAACAACGTATTTTATTCACCTTGCAACTCGCTGCTCGCCCTACAAACGGGGGGAATGGGCCCTGGCCCCGACCTAACGGCGGGCAAGAGAAATGCTGTGGTGTCTGTGCTCGACTCCGGAAGTGCAACATAGAGTGTAGCAGAAGACCTTCGCAATGAAGTCAGTCAGACAGAGGGTTTGAGAAAATTACGAGGGCAGAAGTGCATACAGAGAAAAGGAGAGCTCCGGGTAAGGCTTACGCCTCTGCGGGAGCGCCTCAACTTTCGCGGTGGATTCGGTGTCGTTCTGCAAGAGCTAACCATAAACTTGGGGACCCAGCGCTGCACATAAGTCCATTAACAGCAACCCCGCAAAGTTGTGCGGTAGCGAGGGGGCCTCACTTTTCGGCACTGTTTTGTGCGCGATGCCCGCAGGCTCTTTTTCACTCTGCGGCAGCCGCAGCTGCTGCTGCTGCTGCATTCGCCGCAGCAAACGCAGCTGCAGCGGGTCATGATAGCAGATGC